GGGCCTTCTTGTTGGAGGTCTGTTTCGTGTTAGGCTGTTGGTGGTGGTTTTGCTGTTGAAATGGCCCCAGCAGGTGCAGAAGTGCAGCCCTGCTCCTGGGGGAGAGGCTGAGGCTGCTGCCTGGAGGGCGCTGTCATGAGCCTCCTCGGGCCCAGGCCCAACTCCGCTGGCCACGAGCACAGCGTCAGTGACACAGCAGAAGCCACAGACACAGGGGATGTGATGGCTGATGAGATGTCCGGACCACTTGCAGTAAACTGTCTGTTTTTCCACTGGGAGCCATGGCTCAGTATTTGCTAATTCAGTGTTTACAGCTTCTTTATAGAAGACCAGAGGCCCAGTGCACGAAATTCATGCACTGGGGGGGTGGTCCCTCAGCCCGTCCTGTACCCTCTTGCAGTCCCGGAGCCCTCGGGGGATGTCTGACTGATGGTTGATTTGCATATTAGCCTTTTATTATATAGGATAACCACCACAAATAACCAGAATGGCCTGTATTTTGTTCACATTTCATTAGGATATCTGTCTTTTCCTTATTGATTTGCAGGAGTTTTAGAATGTCCTCTAGGTATAATTGTTACATAATTTCCTCTGGAAGGGATTTCATACTTGTGTAAGCGCGGGTCTGGGCTGCTTTCCATATCGACGGCTGGCCCTCGGGCACCACCGAGTGAGTGGCCACACGGGGTCAGCGAGTGGACCGTGGCCTCTGTGGTACGGGAGCTTCCTGGCCCTGCAGATCCGCTTCAGGACTCACTCCACCAGCAGGTCCCTGCCGGGCCGCAGCCCAGGGTCCTGACGGAGCGTGTGTGTGCCTCTGCACACTGTGTGTGGAATGTCTCACTGCTGCTGTGGTGGCGTTTTTTCCCCCAAGTTCATATTTTGAAGAATTAAGTTCCCCTCTCCCCAACGTGGGACTGTCTTATAGTGAGGGCCTTAAGGAGGTAATTAGGCTAAATGAGGTGGGTCCTAAGGGTGGGGCCCTGATCTCTTTCTCTCTCTCTCCCCCTCCTGAGCATAAAGGTGGGGCCCTCTCCCCCCCTCCCCGGCGTAATGCTGGGCCCTGCTCTCTCTGCCACGGGAAGACGCAGCAGGAAGGAGGTCATCTGAGAGTTGGGAACTGGATAGATGAGCAGTTTGATGTTGAACTTCTCAGCTGCCAGGAATGTGAGAATCGGAGCCTGTTGGTCGCCCGTCTCTGGTATTGGGAGGGCGACACTGACTAGTGCGGCTGCCTGTTGCCGTGTTGCTGAGTGACCTGGACTGCTGCCTGGCACTGTTCCCCAGAGCTTCGTCCACGTCGGTCTCATTGGAGCTGCAGGACACTGGATCTTCGCATTTCCTTTGTCAGGTGCGGGTGGTGTGGTAGTTTTTTCCTCCTGACATATCAGCTGTGTTGCAGGATGGCGTCCCATGGCTAAGCGGCTTTACAGCTCCAGACAAACTCCCCTGGGGCAGGGGCTGTCCCGGTGGTAACTGACCGCTGGCTGCTGGCAGGTGCGCTTGTAGCCGAGCACGCGGGGCAGCCGGCTTTCTGCGGCCTAGGTTTCTCTCCCCGTTGACTGCCTCCGTGTACTGACCGCGCCTCTGTGATGTCTCTGGAAGTTGCCAGATGGAGACAGAAAGGAAAACAGTGGCTGGACACAGACCCGCTCCCAGCTCTCTGCTGTGTCCTGGGATCTCGGGGCCGGGCCTGGGCCGGGCCTCCCCGCGGGCAGTTTCCTGAGGAGACGTCCGGCAGCCACAGGCCTAGGGGAGGTGGGACAGCGAGCAGGTGGCGGGCTGTCCTATGTACAGTCCTCAGGTTGGGCTCCCTGCTGTGGGTTCTGAACTCCGACAGGAGTGGCCGGGTGGCTCAGCCCTCCGCGCTGCCCCTCCACCCGCCGCCCGCTGCCCCACGGCCCCGTGGACACGGCTTTTGCGGGACATTCGTGCGTGTGCTGGGAGATGTGGGCGTGGAAATCCTCAAAGGCTCAGGGAGTTTCCACCATTTAAAAGTTGTTTCCTTCCGCCCACTTAGGGTGGGGTGAGGGTGTGTGTGTATGGAGAACAGAAGCTTTAAGAAAGGCTGTTCCCCCACAGACGTGGTTCAGAGATGGTGATTATAGCTCACCCAGGCCGGTGCGCAATGCCCGGGGTCATTTCCTATTTCACGTGTGGGTTTCATTCTCTGCTCTTCCAAAGAGTGGTTCCTTTTCACAATTACAGAGCCCATGCACCCGGGTGGCGGCCTGGTGGCCTGGAGGTGGGTGTGGGTGGGGGCCTTCCACTCTCTCTGAAAAAAATCAATGGAAAAAATACCCTCGAGTGAGGATGAACAACAACAAAACCACATAAAAACATGTCCAACAGAGAGCGCCCTCCGGGGTGCGGCTCCCTGCTCCGGGCACAGCCTCCAGGGGCCAGGGCCTGGCTGAGGCAGCTTCCCACGGGCGCCCTGCGCTGCTGCGCCTTCACCGATGCGGGGTTGGAAAGAAGTTTGATTCCAAATCATGAAGCATTAATAACATGCCCTTTTTTCCTTTTTAGGTCCCACACACAGCCCAAACCATAATTTTCAGTAAGTATCTGTTTTCCTGAAACCATTCTCTCGTTCTCTAAGGCTCCGTTATGTAAGAATCCACGTTTAAATCCAGCAAGCACGTTTTTACTGAATTTGCTGGAAGTTGGCTGGACTTCACTCGAGGATGGCAGTGCGTTTGCTGTGGGCTGGGAAACGATGGCCTATTCCAGTTGGTGTTAGAAAAAATGTCATAAAAACAGAGATTGCCAGGTCCTTTCATCTCGCGTGGCCCCCACGCGCCTGGCAGAGCATCCACACAGGGCCGGCCGCGGGCACCAGCCTGGTCTTCAAACGCATTTGGAACCAGGGAGGCCGTTCTCCCTGAAACCCAGCACCGCCCAGCCAGAGGCGGCCCGGCCCGCTTCCCGGCACAGCCCCGACTCAGAGCCTCCCCAGGTCTGCACGGGGCGTGCGCTCAGGCCTTTCCGGGACAGCCTTTTCACGCGTGCACCGTGGGGTCCCCTCTGGACCCCATGCTCTCAGCGTGGCCTGAGGATGGCTCGGCAGGCCTGTGTGTGAGGTTGCAGTGGTGGGTTCCTCGTTGCCTCCCCGACACAGGAGGCACTGCTGCACCGCAGTGTTCTGAGGGGACACGCTGTGTGTCCCTGTCCCCCTGGTGCCGCAGGAGCGTTGGCCCACCAATGGGCTTGGTGAGGCCGCTCCCAGCACAGCAGGTGCCCTGGCGGAGAGCAGCTGGGGGAGGGGCTGCGCTCAGGGGCCCTGCCCAAGCCTTGCCCCTTCATCACGCATGTGCGTCGTGAGGAAAGAAGTTGCACAAAGGGAACATCTGTGAGGCTTTAGAAAAGATATGTCATTTCAAACAAGTTTTTCTTTTCTTTATTTGTATCATTAACTAATTTACATAATAAGTATATAACAGACAGTATATTGTAAGAGCAGCAGTCGCCCACCTTCGGACCTCATGGACCACCGGCTGGCGACCGCTGTTATAGAGTATACAGATATGACTTATATGTAATTATAATGTAATTCACTAAATGTATAAATATCAAATGCATTTACATAAGTTTTATATAAAAATTCAATATTTTTACACTTATTTTCTTCTCATTTTAAATTATGGATCAAATCAACACATTTGTCCAAATAATTCATGCAGTTCTGGCAGAGTGACAGTTCATCAGTCCTGTCCCTCGGGCCTGTGCCCATGCCCCGTGGCCAGGTGGGTGTGCAGGCGCGGCCTCTCTGCCCTGGGTACACATGTGGGCCCAAGAGACACAGCACCACTTGCTCCCTCTTTTGCATGAGTGGTAGGATAGTTAACTGTCAGTGCATTTTAAATCCCCCTGGCCGCACCCACGGGGCGCCCGCCTCTGCCCTGGGCGTTCTGCATGTCCACGCCCTCACTGGCCCCGAGGCCTTGTGCCCTGGAACGTGGACAGTCTCTCTCGGGGACTCTGAAGAGCAGAGCCTGGAGGGCACACGTGTGCACAAGTCGCTTCCCTGCCACACCTGAGAGGACCTGTGTCTCCTTGTCCCCAGTGTAGCCCCACGGCTGTCTGCCCGCTCCCTCCCGTCACGCTGTCCCTCTGAGTGCTGGCCACCTGTCACCCTGTCACCCCGAGTGCTCGGCGTGACACCCCCAGGCTGCCCCTGCCTCTGGCAGTGTCTCTTCATAGTCCTTGCCTGTTGCCCTTACATTGTTTCTTGGTGATTTTTAATAATTATTCATCTACTTCTTGATAACATAGAAATTTAAATTTTCTGTTATTTGTCAATAATTATATGGGTTTTCATGTGTCTTATTAAGGAACACCCTGATTTCCTTGAAATATTCTGATAGTGTTTTGATTGAAATTGCAATGAATTTTTAGATAAATTTGGGGAAAATTAATATTTAATTGAATTGTCAAGGACCACTTCCTTCATGCTTTAAAATGTCCTTTTCTCCCTAACATTTATTTTGAAAATTTTCAAACAAATGGAAAAGTAGAAAGAATTTTATAGTGATCATCCAGTCCGAAACCTGCTGTTTACGGCACTTCCCCTGCCAGCGCTCTTGCTTCTTCCCGCCGCCTCCACCCAGCGGGAAGCCATCTTTTTATTCACTTCACAAGGTGCAGATATCTGTGCACTCCCTGAAACTTTTCAGCAAGGAAGCCATTAACGAGTTCAATATCTGAACATTCTTGTTTCATTTGTGAGTTAACCTACAGACAATGACATGCGCAAATCTTAAGTATTCCGTTAACAAGGTCCAACCAATGCAGAAACCTCTGCAATCCAACCCTGCCTGGGCCCAGAGAGTCCCATCCCTGGGACCTCCTAGTCCACGCCCCTCCTCCCCTGCCAGCCACCGTTCTGGTGGTGTTCTGCTGTGGACAGTTCTATGTGTTTTAGGACTTCATAGACACACAGCCACAGCACAGAGCCACGCAAGCCTGGCTTCCCGCACGGGGCATCGCCTTCGAGAAGCATCGGGCTGTGTGTGTCAGCAGGGCACTGCGTCCCGCTGGACAGTGCTGCTGGACGCTGGGCCCGCGGGGCACCCACTCCCGCGGGCATGAACCGATGGACTTCTCTCACGGTGTTCTGTGGACATGTAAGCATCTCTGCTAGGGAAGTGCCTCGGGGTAGAACTGCTGGCGTGCAGAGTCTGAGCCTGCTGTTCCGTAAGAGGTACCGCCTTCCCTCGAGGGGGCGTGCCCTTTGCACTCCCAGTGGCGGGGAGAGGTTTAGGGGGCTGCACGCACTCACCAGTAGTTGGTCTGGTCAGTCTTTGTAACTGAGCCCTGGAATACTTAGGATTCCTACACTGTTTTGTAAGTTTTAACTCTTTATGTTACTGACTTCTAAAAAATTACTTTTATCAGTCGTTTTTAATTTCAAACAAATCTACTTGACACGGTGGCGCTTCCTCTGAATGCCACTTTGTCTGCATCCCCCCTGGGCCCAGGGACACGGGCTCTCCGTTTCCTGTTCTTGTTGAATTTTATCAGTGAACTTGGGGTGTATTTTACTTTTGATAATTCGTTAAAGGTGTCCTTTGTGACCAATTAGATATGTTCAATTTTTGTGAACATGTCCTGTTGTTTCAACAAATAACTGTTTCCTGGTGGTGGCCACACATACCTTGATTTACATAGTAGATCACGTGTGTGAAGTGTGTTATTAAAACCGGCTGTTTTCTTTGTCACGTGGGTTACAGAATCTGGAAATGTGTGAAAGCCATCGTGCTCGTTCTGGCCTTGCCAGTGCCCACCAGCTGTCCGTTTTAAAGGGGCCTGGGTGTGCGCCAGGCCCGTGGGCCCGAGGCTGCATGGCTTTGGCTGTGTTTGTCTGGAAGTTCCTATTAACGCTCTTCCCCTGGAGTTTAGTTTGCCAGAGAGTGACACTGCCACCGGCTTTCTCTTCGTTTGCATTTGCTGCAGACTTCTCTTCCTCTTCCTGTTCCACTGTCCCCCAGCCTCTTGGCATCCGTTTTATGTGGGTATCTTATAAGTAGCCCATAAGTTCGTATTTTGGAGGCTGGTAAGGAGGATTTCCAATCTGGAAGTTCAGTTGCTACATGCAGGCTGTTGTCGTGTTCACAGATGTGTGCACAGCACTCACTGCACTGGGAGCCCGCCCCGCCCC